AGTGATGTAAATTAGCTATAAAGTAGATTGCATTACACTGCACATGCGATATTGATCTGGCACTTGTTCACACTTGGCAAATTCATTTTTGTCCTTGATGTATTATTGATCAATGGAGTGTATATTGATGGATTGCGTTTTGGATTGGAGGTGTCATAAAGGAATATGCGAAGAGCTAATATGTTGTGAAAAGGTGGATAAAGTGATGATTCAGTGGTGATGAGCGAACTGTTTTCTAGGATCATTAACTCCATCGGATGGCAGTACTCCGAACTCTGCAACAATTTGTGAAATTGAGCCATCGTCGTCTCCTGGCGTTAGCGCAACAAAATCGATCTCAACTGATAATCGTGATAACCAATCACCATTGTCGTCATCTTCTTCGACGAGTGTGCATCCGTTAGAGACAGCAAATGAATACAGACGCCGTCGTGATAAGAATAATATTGCGTCTCAAAGGTCGCGTCGTAAACGCCAAATGAAATTCGAAGCGTTGAAAGAGGAAGAGATGCAGTTGAAGAAACGCAATACAGAACTGCATGCAAGTGTGAGTGATTTGGAAAGACAGGTCAACAACTTGAAAGAAATCATGATGAAGGCTGTCACAAGATAAATAAATTAGCGAAATTTTGAAGCTTCTTATGCCAAATTCTCCACTGATCTTTTGCATTTCGGGGAATGAATCCATTGTTTACGTACGGTCAGGATCAACTGTTGACCTAATTTGCCAACTCATTCAACTTGAGAATTTGACATGATATACTACCATTGTTTGATCATTTGCTCGAATATGTTTTCGGTTAATTCTGTTGTGATTCTTTAATCCATATTTTATCTGAATGTCTTCAATTCATATTTTTAGAAATTCATTATTGTTCAATAATTGTGCAATTATCAAACTATCATTGGTTATGTTATGCCAAATTATTCATTGAGGGAGAGTACAATTTTATGAGATAATTTTAAACGATTTGAATGAGTTGAATAATGTCTATATCAGTTTGTTCCGTTGGGTGTTGTGTGTTTATCGTGTGCTTATTTAGTCATTTATCTGATCATTTATTTATTTACTATTCTCGATTGTTTAGTATTATGATTGCTCGAGCGTATATAAATGTTGTTTTCTTGTCTGTATACAGTTCGAAAGAGGGATTGCCAATAGGTTTTTATAAGCGCAGGCTAACTCTAATATAATCTAGTCTGCATGGCGATCCCTCCTATGGAGTAATACTTGAGGTGAGTGGACTTTTGGTTTGGGATATATTAATTTTTCAATGAATTAGGGATTCAATAATACCTAATGGGAATGTTACCTTGAAAATTGGCTTATCATTTTGTTCTGAAATTCGTTTTCCTTGAGAATCACTGCAACCGTTCACTGATCTAGTTGTGTTGATGGGTAACCCAAGCGTATTACTTCATTTGTTGATTTACCGTCGTAGTTTATCCTCTGAATTTATTTTTGTCATGCTATGTCTTTGTGTACTTACTATTGTTCAGATTTTTATTGCTTCAATAAAGTTATTAAATAACGTTTTTTTCTTATTGTATCCGGGATGCGACAGCGAAATTGTCGTCGATTTTGGGGATAAGATTTCGGAAAATTGATGATTTTTTTACTCGTTTTAACATGTCGCACTTTTTCTGCTGCCAATAAACT